ATGTTAATAAATCAAGTAGTCATGTTATAAACATATTTATTAACCATATTAATTAAATCTAACAACCTAGGATTAAGAAGAAAGACCTTTATATGTTCTGCTACATTAATATTTTTGCATATTAAGGCTGCTCTCATTAATTGTTATGACTTAAAATAATGGATTCCTTTACATGCAAGTTGGCGACTGAGACTAGATCAAAAAGTATTTAAACACACATTGCAGTGTGTCCATAAGAGGAGCTAAAACAATCATCCAAAGCAGAAAGTTTTCCAGTTAAATTGCTGAAGAACTTTGGACACGAACAGGAGAGTCCATGTGTCAGATGGCTAATGCTAGCAATGACTGTGCTACACCGCTCCAACAACCCGGCAAACTGACACAGAAGCTAGTTTATTTGAGCTGATACGTAATTCCGACCTGTTAACATAGGGACATTTTCAGGAAAAAGTTAGCAGCCCTCAGATTGTCGCCGTGACAACGTGTTTCTCAGTTATTTATTGGCCGACAGTGTCAACGTCAACTTGTGTGAGCCGTTAGCCCCAGATAGCCATCTTAGCTAGCGACCTTAGTCCGAGTACTTATCAGCCTTTTTTTATCCTCACCTACACGTCGTTTTACCGACACCGCCTTTTCCACCAACAAATATCCATTTTAAAGATTTCTGCTCAATGATATTCTTCAGGGTTGGCTCTAACGGCTCCACGTCGGGCGCATCCTCAAATTCGTCTTCCACTAACGCTGCCATCTTCTGTTGTGTACAGTGACGTACTACGTAAGCAGGATGGTGCTTTCACTGGCCCTCGGAGATTTGGGCCACGAAAACTGTGCGCCGTGTTGTAAAGAGACAAATCGAGTTAATATGTTTATGGGATCGTTCAAACGTAGATGTAGAATTGCTGTTTACATTTTGAGTTTATTTTCTTAGTGAAAAAAGATTTTTGTTTTGTGGGTTTGATGCTGTTAGAGGGATTTCTTCAAGTTAATCTGACACTTTTTGATAATGTTTCTATTCTATAACAGATATATTCATTTAATTGAATCTGTTCTGATGCATTATCATGATCATGGGAAAGTTCTTTAGACCTGGCACAACCTACCACAGATTTCGTAAGTCCATGTGATGCCTGAAACAAGGACCCACATTTAAAGTGTATAAGAGTATAAGAGATGTAAAGGATGCAGACCAGGAGAAAAGCAGAAAAGAAGGAGAAGGAAATATAAACCATTTCTTTTCTTGACTGTCATGGGAAGCGTGAGATCACTTTTTGACAGAATATTTGAGGATGGTGAGGATGTTGTAGGAAAAAACAGTAAGACAATGAGTGCCTTTCAGCTGGCAGACCATCGCTGTCACCTCTCTGTTAAGCTTTGAGACTTAGGCTAATGCTCAACACACTTATGAGACGGTCTAATCATAGATATGTCTCATAGAAGGAGAGCTGTGAGTTTATTTTGGTGCTCTAACACAGGTGTGTTGCTGATCAGATATTAGGTTGTAGCTCAACTACAAAAACTAAACTAAAAATCGGTTTATGGCACCAAATTCTATATAATTCTCAGCTAATCTTCAACTTAGGAAAAGGCCACAAATTTCCAAAAGTACAGTTGAAACTACTCTTTTAACATGATAAACAAAAGAAACAAATACAGCTAATAAATTCACAGCTCTTCTAGTTTAAATAATATTCATTGAATTTCAAAATAACAAATAACTACCAAACAGAAGCTGTGAAGTTTTAGTCATTACAAATTCACATTTCCTGTGACAGTGTACAAGCCAGAAAACTGATGGAGTGAAATATACATGGATTCTATTCATGTTTATTGGAATAGCTCAATTTTGCTGAAAGAAAAAAAAAAAAAGAATTTGGCTTTTACAGTGCTCTTTTTAATCTTTCCCAAAAGATATTGCTGTACATCACAGCTTTATTACATCCATGTTGCATGTAAAAAATAAAAACAACTAAACGCTACAATGTTTAACAAAAGTATTTTTTAAAAATAGCTCAAACACAACAGCTGAACAGTGTTTACAAATGTCCCATTTTTTCAAAAGCAGCACAGAGCAGGTGATGGTTACCAGTCAAATGAAATACCTGCCCAATGCTCTGCTGAGTCATCAAACTGGAGCTTATGGTTCCCAGATGTAGGAACTTAAAACCATTCAGAAATCGCTCTGTCTTGCTGAGAAGTTAAACAAAAACAACTGGATGACAACAAACACATGGCAGTAGGAAGCAGATATTTGTGCGCATGTCGGTGGAAATAGCTGGAGATGTGTAGTGAAAACTGGATCTTTAGAGGACACACTCATTTGGATGAACACATACATGATGTGACCACAGGATAAGGCACTTGCTTCCATGAGCACCTCTTCGTTTCTTCACTTGTCTCCACCTCAGGTCGTCCCTGGCACCTTCCACCTTTCGCCAACATTTTTTCGTACAAAACTAAAGGGATAGTTTAAAGTGTATTTACAGAAGGGTCTAGCTGCACCTGCAGCCATCTACAAAACGCGTCCCGTACAAAACACACCTCCCGCCCAGCCAATCGTTGATTTTAATTTGGACATTACGTCATCTTGGATACAGATTAATTGAAAAAAATAAAAGACTTATCGCCTTATTTGATCATAATCAATGAGTTAATGATGAGTTTTTGTGTCCTCGTTCAGGAAAATGTTGTGTAGACGTGGCTCTCAAACTGCACAGTAAAGTCTTTTGTTTTTTGTTCTAAACGTCAATTTCTTGAGCGTCGTGGAAAACGTCAGAGAAGGGAAAACATTTCCAGAAACACCCGGATGGCAGCTTTGGGGAAGCTGAGCCCCGTTTATTCTCAACAACACAAAATCAGCTCTCGCCGTCGGAGGCACTTTAAGGTGAAATATCAAATACATTTTTATGCGTCACTATTTGCCATTTCAGTCTGTAAACACGAGGTTTTTGTTCACATTAATATCATAATAATATACCTTAAATAAAAGTTACATGAAGTCGTTTATATGTACATAAAGACAACAAACAGCAGGATTAAGGGATACGTTAGCTTTAGGATGCGAGTGGATCTGGTGGCAGTTCTGTGGAGTCCAGCTTCGATTTGTGTGTGTGTGTGTGTGTGTGTGTGTGAGTGTATGTGTCTTTGCGTTTGTGTGTTTTAGTGTGTGTGTGTGTGTGAGTCTATGTGTCTGTGCGTTTGTGTGTTTTAGTGTGAGTGCATGTGTGTGTATGTGTTTGTGTGTGTGCGTGTCTGTGTGTGTGTGTGTTTGTGTGTGTGTGTGTGTGTGTGTGTATGTGTGTGTGTGTGTGTGTGTGTGTGTGTGTGTGTGTGTTTTAGTGTGTGTGTGTGCGTGTGTGTGTGTGTGTGTATGTGTGGGCTACATTTACACCTCACAGGGGGCTGTGTTGACCTGCACACATTCCTCTGCCCGGCTCTGAACTCAGAGAGAGAAGAGGTTGTCGTGTGAGGACTCCTGTTGCCGGGCGGGCTGTGGGGGGGGGCCTGGCGGTGCCACCGGATTGGCTGCTGCTGTCTGAAGCCTTCGCCCGATCCTCCAGGAACTTCTCAAACTCTGCAGGGGGGGGGGGGGGGGGGGCACACACACGCACACGCACCACAGTGAAAACACCGTCACACACAGTAAGAAAACACAGTAAGTAAGAAAAACTATTTTAAAAAAGGGAGCGGTCACTTAAGAGAGAAAACACACCTTCGCTGGACACCCCCTCACAAACCGACGGCTGCTCCTCCTGCTGTTTTAAACACAAACAGGGAAGGTTTTTAGTTTTTGTAAATCAATATCTGCTGCTCGTCAAAATTAGCCATCCATGCTAATCCTAAGAGGTTGCGTTAAGGCAGCTGGACCTCTTGGCGTTTTCGTTTTCTGAACAAGAGTTTTGGACGAGAGGTGAAACGTCTTCAAGATCCAAGAAATCCATCCATCCATTATCGTTACCCCTTATTCCCTAATGGGGTTGGGGGGGCGGAGCTTATCCCAGTAGCCAATGGGGAGAGGCGGGGTCCCCCTGGACGGTCCCCAGTCCATCACAGGGACACACAGAGACACACAAGGACCAACAACCACACACACTCACACTAAGGGCAGTTTGGAGTCCAACAACCTAACATGCAGGTTTTTGGACGGTGGGAGGAAGCCGGAGAACCCGGAGAGAACCCACAGACACATGAGAACATGCAGAACCACCCAGAAAGGTCCTGGTTCCCCCGGGACTCCAACCCAGAACCCTCTGGTCCTGGTTCCCCCGGGGACTCCAACCCAGACCCCTCTGGTCCTGGTTCCCCCGGGGACTCCAACCCAGAACCCTCTTGCTCTGAGGCCACAGTGCTAACCACCACACCACCCGACCCAAGAAGTCCAGTTGCGTTATTCAAGCCCTTAGGATCGTCTCTGGCATTTTCACGCTTACCAAGTCACAGGATAACCATCTATCAATATCATTCTGGACAGGGTTTTTCTCTGGAGGCATCTAAGAAGAAACATAGTAAAAAGAGAAACAGGGTGATTTTGGGTTTTGTTTTCTATCCGAGCAGCACGATCACAAAAAGGTTAATCTAAATTGAGCCCGGGTCACTGTGATGTACGCACCCCTCCGGTGACCTGCAGCCTGGAGTCCAGGGCTTCTGCCAGACCCTCCACAGCTCCAGGGTCCTCGTACCGGACACTGGACAAAAGTACACAGGCACACCACGAAGATGCATCAGTTTCTAAGTCAAATTTCAGTTAGTATTTGTCATAAAAATCTACTCCAAGCACATCTGAGCAGATTCAAACATCAGGCGTCCACTGCTGTGTCAAAATACAAATAAATGACAAAAGGGACATCATGTAAAATAATTGCATTTTCCAGCTGGGCTTGTTCTTTAGCTGTCAAAGATATCTATGGACGATTCACCGAAGAAACCTTTTTTTTTTTTTTTTTAAAAAGCTCTCCGTTCCTTAGATGGCAAAAAAAAAGCCCAAGTTTTGCGCAACACAGCAAAAGAAGATGTTGTAAGTGTAATGGGAAAAAGAGGGTCTCTGGGATGAAAAGGTAGAGTCATGGCAAACATAAAACATGAGAGAGACAAGAATCTGATGCTCACTTTTTCCTCTGCTCAGCCAAGGAGCTGCCTCTGGTTTGGGCAAACATGTCAAACTCCTCCTCCTCTTCTGCAAAACAGAATTTCCAGACTTACTCACAGAGCTCCGCGTGGGGGTTGTTAGTCAGCAGAAAATGTGAAAATGTTATTTTTTCTTTCCCTGAGTCACATCAGTCATCTGATGACGCAGCAGGTTGCTAACATGACGCTAACCCACAACATCCTGTTTCCCCTGACAGAAAAAAAAAAGTCCAACGGCAAGAAGGACACATTTTGCAAGAGATTATTCAAACGCTCTGAGAAGGTTAGAGAAGGGTTCCTCACTGTGATTGGTCGGCTGCTGGTGGTTGGTCCAGGTACTGGCTGCTGGTTGGCTGGAGGCGGTAATAATGGCTGGCTGTTTGTTGGTGGAGGGCTCTGGGCTCAGCTCGATCAGGCTGGGGTTCGTGTTAGAGCTCTAAAAGGGTCACATTTAACCGGTGAGTGAGCACTGACTTGGATCATAAATGATGAAAAAAAGCCTTCCCAAACTTCTCTGAGAAACACGATTCCCTGTGCTTAGTCATTTGAGGATTTGTTTAGTTTACCTGTGGGACGTTTGCAGTTTGAGCTTTGTTCAGCCTGTCAAACCTAAAAAAAACACAACAATAAACAAATCAATAAAGAGGTGGGCACATTTCTCCATGCAATATGGGAGTGTCCCTTGATAATGCCCCTTTTGGAAGGCGGTCTTGAAAAAATATGAAAACTGGCTTAGTCAAACTCTACCAGAGTCTGCACAATTTAGCCTTTTAGCAGACAAGTAATCATTCCAAAAGCTGAAGGTAGACTAATGATGACAGCTTTTCTAGTAGCAGCCAGAATTATTCTTCGTAAATTAAAAGAGCCCACATAGACCAGAAATCAAGGAATGGCTTCATTTCTAGGGTGCAGAAAGAGCCACGTAAGGCTGGCCAAGCATGGGTATAGTTTGACTACAATGTTTGTAACAATTCTTAAGGGATTTGGGGTGTGATGTACCGGTATACTGTGAATATGAATATGTGCATTGCTATGAAATATCTATGAAAAGGTAACTGATAAGTGCTGTCATGTTCTGTGTTGCTGCCGGTTTTTGTGTTTTTGTTGTTGAATGTCATCTGTTGTAACTGTGTTATAAAAGAAAAATAAATAAAAAAACTTTAATGAAAAAAAAAACAGTAAACAAATCACGCACCGTTAAGCATCTGTTCTTTCCACCGAATACCAACAGAAAAAACAACATGGCGGCTGCCCACCTCTCGTAGCGGATGAAGGTGTTGTTGAGGTCGTCGTTTACGATGAGCAGCTCCTCGATGAATCCCTCGTCCTGCAGCTGCGGGATGAGCTCCACCACACGGGTCTGCATGCTCTTACACACCGCAAAGAGCTGCTGCTCGGCCAGAAGAAGGGAGGAAGATTCATTTATTAGCGTCACGCTATTAAAGGAGACATATTATACCCTATTTCAACAAGTTAAGCTAGTTCCCTGGTGTCCTAATGTAATGTCTGTGACAAGCTTTGGTCAAAATCCCATAAGGATGAAGCCCAATAGCAGTTCAGTCCCCCTGCCTAACCCTAACCCTAACCCTAACCCAAAACAGCCCCGTTCAGAGCGCTCGCTTTGGAGTGCCTGTCTCTTTAAATGCAAATGAGACACAGGTAATCCACCCACTTCTTCAGGAGGTGTGCCCACGTCGGCACGCTAACGCTACCATGCTAACGCTACCATGCTAACGCTACCATGCTAATGCTCACACTACCACGACGTCTCCACAGATAGGGGAGTAAGCTGACGGGGGGGGGCAACATGCAGGTGAAAGGCTGGAATATTATAATGAGCTAGAGCTAATGACGTCAGAAACTACCCACTCCTGAAACCTCCTGATTTATCTCCTGGATTCAGACACAAAAACATGACTAAGTCATTTTTTTCACACTTTTCCTGCTGATAGGCCCTCCACAGTCCCAAATGTACACAATCAAATGATTAAAAACTTGGTTTTGCATAATATGTCCCCCTTTAAGAGCTGATCTCTGCAGGCGTTTGTGTGTTATTGCTAATTTCCTTCATCATGACACTAACTGTCATTACTGGCTGTTCTGTGGTTTTCATGGTAGTTTGCCCTGTTACTGAGGCTGAAAGTGTTCAGTGAAGGTGTAACAGGAAGGTTTCTGCTGCAGCACTAAGCTCCGACACACACTGACACCATGCAGAGGGAAAAGGACGTTATATAAGACAAAAAACAGCAGTTACGCAGCAATGCTGAGGGTGACAGAGGGATTAGAAACAAGTATTCTGGTGTTGTTTTCTATTGCATGTAAGACCAGTTAACAGTGGAAAACTGCACGTCCAAACAAGCTGAACTCAGCTTCACACTAACAACGGAACAGGATAAACTATTGATCAATTAATTTTTTTTGTTATCACGTACTAAAACTAATCATAGTGTCTAAAACTGATGGAAACTGTTGCCTGAATCAGAAAGAAGTGTCATAAATCATATTTAGACCTTTTTTTTTTTAATGTGACAAAACCATAAATCTCTCATTAATTAATATTCATTCATACATCTTTCAACCTTACCTTAAACACACATCCACAGATGAAAAACACATGTTATTCTTTTAAGGTGACACTTTGGAAACTCTAAACAAATGTAAAAAGTGGAGCGCTGGTACACAAATAAGTGACTAAGTTTGGCTTAAAGACAGTTAACTTGTTATTGTTCTGTGTGTGGAGAAGTCGTGCCTTGTGTTATTAATCATTTATAAAACCGGCATTGGTGACTAAAGGCCACGTTAATGCTTATCTTTCTGCAGCAATGTTTGGGATTGTGCACCTGAAAGCCAAGTTCAGGGTTTTTCAGCAGTTTTCATGACTATTTGTCACATAAAAGAATAAAAAGTGACCCATTAGCTATATCAAAAACAGAGTAGACACAGCCTGAATCATAGTAGATGGTGTATTATCACCCTGACACACACCTGTAGCAGCTCTATATCGTCCCTCTGGCTCTGTCCAGGTTTCAGCTCGTTTAGCATCTCAGACATCACCGTGAGATTTCCCTTCACCAGCCCCAGCTCAGTTCGCAGCTTCTGGTCCTGAAATGAAATGAAAGGAAAGATTGTAAGAGTGTCTCTGACTATTTCCAGACTGTCATGTAGCATGTAGCTGACCCGAGTCTAGTCTGTAAAACAGGATCAACCAATCCAAGACCAGAGTGCCTTTAATAGTGTCCAATCAGACCCAAAAGTTAAAGTTAAACGTATCCATCCTTAGAGAGGAAATGTTGAAATATTCAGCATCCAAACCTTTGGCATTTGGATTTGGAAGGGTTAAATACGACTTGTGTCCTTTAGTTTGGAAGAGGTTAAACGAAGTGAGATCTTTAAATACTTATGCTAGTCTACAAACCACTGAGTGATGCGATGGGGGCTACGTCCTCCATTTAAGCTGAGAGAGACTAAAGATTTAACTATGCAAATATCTTCATCTGAATCAAATGTGAGGAGTCTTGATCGAACTCTACCTGTTCTGGAGAGAGGGAGGCCGGTCCGTCACTGGGCTGGACTGGAGGCGAGGAGCCCGGACTGGGAACACTGGGAGGAGGCTGTGGTTGGGACTGATGTGGGGATGCAGCAACAGGGGTCGCCTCGGGACTCTCGTTTTCTGGGATAGTCTACAGGAATTGTCAGAGGGGGGCATATCAACAGTAATTAACTCATTGACTGCCAGCCATTTTCAGAACAGAGAGTCCCGTACTGCCAGAGTTTTTTGAGCATTTGGACTGATTTTTCAAGAGCCACAGAATAGTTTGTGCTATGACTATGTAAACACCGAACACACCAAAAGAAAGAGTAGACTCTCTTCTTTCATCAGGAAAAAAAGGTTGTTTCTACCTTATTCCGTTCTTCCTCGACTTGCGTCTCACCGGCGACATGTTCTCTCATAGAGAACCGTTACCTTTTTCTTATTTGCCTACAATCTATGCTCATCTCCCATCAAAAGTGGCACTGCCCCCTAGAGGGTCAATTTGTTACTACATACTCTGTCTAGAAGCCTGATATTTACGGACAAGCTTTAGCAGATCGTCCCCCAAACACTCTCGTTGAAAAACATTAAAGACGTCTATAGACGTCTTTGGCAGCCAATGAGTTCATTATATTTAATTGATTAAAACCAGTTCATTGGGATGGAATATGATTAATGATTACCCGGTTTGGGGTGTGGATCGGGGACAGGGCATCCAGGTCTGTCATGGGGAACTCCAGGCCTCGCCTCCTCAGGTCATCATACACGTAGACGACCCCCCCCAAGGAGGGGGCGCTGCGAAACGCATCGGCCCACGACTGAAAAGGAACGGGGGAAAAAACAAAAACATGTGACTAATTCTAAAGAGATGACCGGCATCCAAATCTGCACCCAGTCACACATTTCACAAGACAAAAGAGAGAACAACTATTTTCAGTTTTGACTCCCTCTAATCAGCAGTCACACACATTCTGCTTTGACTGTGTAACAAAAGAATGCGTGAGGCAACTCACACACGTCCACAGACAAAACATAGAGGGACTGAACAGACTCCATGAGCCATGGGACATAGAGACTACTTCACTATCCTACATGCTAGCATAAAGGCTCGGCTCAAGATTCTGACTCTGGAATAATAAATAGTAGATGATGTGCTGTCGATTGCTAATGCAGATGTAGTTTTCTTTTTTTTTGTAAACACCTGTATGGCCTTTCACACGTTTGAAATAATATAAACAATATATATCACATTTTTGACTGCCTTTTCTTAATATACACAGTACTTGTACTTTTACTTATACTTGTTCTTTCGATACTTGAGTAGCAATTTTTTAAATACTTCTACTTAAGTGAAAAAAATGGAGTACTTCCGTACTTCCACTTAAGTATGGTGTTCGAAGAACACTTTAACTTTTACTCAAGTCAATTTTTTTATATAGTACTTCTACTCCACTCCTCTACTCCAGTACTTTATACATATCTGTTACAAATATGGCACACTAGAAGAGACTGTAAAAACATAAAGATTTCTTTTTTTTCCAAAGGCTGAGCTCAGTTTCTGTCCCACCTGAATGAGGCTGAGGATGCGGTCGTGGAGGGCCGTCGGTGGGTTGTATTTGGGCAGAATAGAGCGGACCAGAACTCCCTCCACAAACTCCTGTGTGGCCACCAAAACCTGGAAGCGGTGGCCACAGTTCTTCACACAGGCCTCCAGAACCTACAGAAGCGCAGAAACTGTGACTCCGAGAACTAAAATCCAAACAGTTTCAAGACTTTTCTCTCAAGTTATCAGGGCTCCAAGTGAGGATTTGAATATTTACTCCTGTTTACTGACACTGTAAACACAAAAGACATCTCCTCTCTGTAGTCAGCCGAGCAGGATAAGGATGATAACGGCCTTTAAACAACTCTCTTACACACATTAATCGTTTCATGACAGAATATATCAACTCAAAAAATAACAAACAGTCATCACTCACCGTGAGAGCCAACATTATCTCTCTGAAGTTCTTGTTTCCTACTATCCTCTTCTTAATAGCTTTGACTGCATCTTTTGGCCTGAAGGGAAACAACATGTGCATCAGATGATGTTTGCTTATTCATTTTACTATTAAGAATTAAAACATGCTGTAAGGGTTACAAAAAAAGAAGAAGAAGAAGCAATGAACTAGTGTCCGTGGAGGCTTTTTCCACACAAATAGACGCAAATCAACATCAGTCTTCTAGTGGGGAAAAACACCTTTTTTTTGTTTTTACGTTTAACTTTCACATCCATATTTAGACCAATGGTTAAAACACTTCACTAACCACTGGGCCTCAAAATAAAAAGTGGGTCATTTGGCCTCATGCAGACCTTCTTAAAAAAAGAGTTATTAACCTGAATGGTACGGGTAGTTTGAGTAAACAGAGCTGTGGACCAAACCCCCCCCCCCCTTATTAAACTGGACAGGGTCCTTACCCTTCGTCGGTCTCATTGATGATGTCACAGATCTCCATGTTGAGACCCCAGTCCTCCGACAGCAGACAGCCGCTGGTCGCTCGCTCTGAGGGAAACCCAGAGGGGGTTAACGCCGTGTTACACCAGTTATATACATATATATATACATACACACTCTTTTTCAATATCATACCAGAATCCAGAGTAAAAACTGGAGACACCATCAGACATTTTTCCGTGTGATTATCAATATTTTAGCTTCTCTTTTAGTTTTTCCCTCATTCTTAGGCCCAGATCTCATCATTTCCTCATATTTGATAGTTAAAACTATGAACAAATGAGGGGAAATGGGGTTATAATAATGAATTCGGACAGTTTCTCTTTTACATCCCTATTGATTGACTGTCAATAGGAGTTTCTCTAATTCTTTGAGGCCTGGTTGTGCATAAAAAACATACATATAACGTCCCAACCAGCACATAAATAATTTCTCATCGCATCTATATACTGATGTTTACATTTATACAAATAATAACATTAACTGCTGTGATATGGAGCCGTCTGAATGAAATTAATCAATCTGGAAGTAGGCATCCACCTTTTTCTCTAAAGCTATTTTGTAATCCAGGTCAGTTTTCCGTGCTCCAACCTTTACAGGCTCCTCATAAATCTCTAATCTCTTCATTCCTTAGCAAAAAACACACACACACACACACACACACACACACCAAACCCTCACCCTGCATTTCTCAGCCCCATTCACACACACGGCCCTCCTCCCCCCTCCTCCCCTCTCCCGACTCCCCCCTTCATGTGACTGTCAGCTGCTCTGTTCTCATTTGCCTCAGAACTGGTCCACATCTATGTGTGAGAAAGTCAGGGAGGAGAAAACAGGAACCTGATGGGGGTGAAGTCACTTTGTGTTGCTCACACATCTGCACAGCCACCAGCAGCTGGGGGGGGGGGGGCATCTATTATTGATAGTGGAGGATTCACAGCCTTTTAGCGACTTTGAACAAAAAAAGATGAATCTGGTGACGTTCAGAAGAAATCTGCTTTATGAATTATGCATTTTCTGAGAGACCTGTCAAACTTCCAATGGACGAAAGCAAGTCAGAGAGTGAGGAAGTGAGAGGAAACACCGAGCAGCCGCCTAATTGGCCAAAGTCAATGTCTCTAAATAAATTGACCAATCGGATGCGAGCATTTGGACTCGGCGTCAGCCCCTCTTTCCTCTTTTTTTAAAATTTTTTTTTTTTTTTTTTTTAACCTTTCAGAGTTTTTCAATAAATGCATAATTAGGGTTGCCACCAACAACTTGTTTGGCTTTGTCTCCTCTGTAGTAGAGTTTAAAAAATAACTTCCACATATCGACTAAAGAGTTATTCCGACTCACCGATCCTCTGGCCGACTGGCGTCGAAAACGGGTTTCCGATGAGAAACTCCATCTTCTCCCCGAGGGAAAACATCCTGGAGGCAGCTGTGGGGGGCCGTGGGGCTCCGTGGGGCTCCGTGGGGCTCCGTGGGGCTCCGTGGGGCTCTGTGGGGCTCCGGGGGGATGCTGGTTTGAGTCCCGGTGCCTTCACAGTCAGGCGCAACAGCTCCGCGAGGGGTCACGTGAAGGCACGCAGAACCCGGAAGTAGCAGACATCCACACAGAGTCATCACACTTCTCCACCCCAGGGGGGTTTAACTCACTAAAAACACGCCAAAGGCACCTACAATTGGGTTACCACATTTATTTTGAATTTATTTAATTATTTGGTTGATTTTAACCCTGTAATGCCAAATGTATTATATTTGATACATACTGTTTCTGAAGTCTTTTGGATCTGAGACTTTTTGCATCATTCAGTGGTAAAAGCTTTGCTCAAACCCCTGTTGTACACATTCAGATATACCTGATAACAGCCAGTAGAAGACTACACCAAAATACATTTTTGACTTATTGCTTGCTAATTTGATCAAAATAATTTCAGTTTTTTATTTTCTTCATATGTTGCTGAGGGGCCAAAGAAAGACTTCAGACTAAAAAAATCCAATATTCTTCCTATTTTTCTTGGATCAGGCTTTAAAGGGTTAATGAATCCGGACAATGATTTCTCCCCCCAGAATAACTTCCCTTATGCTACTTTTTTCTCTTTAAACAGTGAGCACCACATTGAACAGCTTTATCTGAGTCTTATTTACGGCTTCGTGCACACTCACCTCGCCAAATCCACCTTTGCCTAGTACTCTATAATGTCTGAAAGTATTTTTTTTCAGTGGTAAAAGCTTTGCTCAAACCCCTGTTGTACACATTCAGATATACCTGCTAACAGCCAGTAGAAAACTACACAAAAACATGTTTTTGACTTATTTTCTTCATATGTTGTTGAGTTTTCTTGGATCAGGCTTTAGAGGGTTAAGTTTAAGTTTATACTGAGTGTTAGAATTGGGCTATAATTACTCACTTTACCACAGTATGTTATAACTTAATCCACATAAATGCCATGTTTGTGACAAAATAATGTTCAATAAAGTGAGTCCTGAACTGGAAGGGAAACGATTGGTATACTGTCTTCACTTCCCCTCTTTCACCTGCTTAAAACAGGTAACATGTTTGCTAATGTGGTCACCACACACTGAGACCTGTAACACTGGCTTATTTTGCAGAGTGGTTTTTACATTGTGGCACATTTTGAGGACTTTTGGTAGTTTTGGTAACTGAAAACCAAACTGCCACAACCAAACAAAAACTTGTATTTAGTGTAAACATCATCTGCATACATATTTTAAGTGCTTTACTCCTCAAAGATAAAGTTAGTTAGTAGAGTTAGATTTGCACAGACATGCTCAGGATAACTCTAGATTTTCATGTATCAGGACATAAAACCTGGTCATTACAAGATCTTGACAGTACATCAAGATCAGTCTGAGGTCTGGATCATTGAAAAAATACATAAATACATTTTTTAAATTTCAAATATGTGTGGTATCATTGTCCCTGTTTCATTCAAACTTTGGTCTGCTCTATCCAGAGGATATGGATCCAGAGGTTTCTCTTTATATGGAGAGGACAGCCTCCTACAGGCCAAACTAACACATTGTACCTTTTTAAAATCATACTCCCCTTATCTTTAACGGTTGACATGGAAACGGAAAGAAAGAAAAGTAACTTTTAGGTTTTGCTCATTTAAAATGCTTTAGTGCTTTTCTTGATAATTTTTTGGTGAGTAAATGAGGGATTCTTTGCAGAAACATCTGTATAATGTTGTGGGAAGAGCAATCCAGATGTAAGAGAAGAGGAAGTGGTGATTTAATTGAATGATTACAAAGGACCAGAACTTAATGAGCTTAAAAGACTCAATTATAAAATTAACAGACAAGGAAAAAACCCAGAACAAAAAAGAACCACAATGGGCCACTGAACTCTGGGTGTGAAAAACCAAAAGGGAAATAAAGTGAGGAAACTAATGAGGAAATGACCAAAGCTGGGAGTAACTTCCAGATATCAGCTGTGGCCGTAGAGCCAAAGTCCAGAACTGGAGGGAAAATAAGAAATTATGGAATGATGACTGGAATAAAACCACAGGAATTAAGAGTACAAAAAAAAAACAGAGGACAAAACACCAGATTGTGAGACAACGTGGACCTCAATATTCTACTTACAAGAAATACTATTTATTGTAATAATAATAATAATGATGAATAATAATAATATTCATAAATAATAATAATAATAACAAATAATGAAATAATACAAATATCAAATAAGTATTAATAAATATAATATAAATATGATATAAAATAATAAAATGAATAATAAAAATATCACCCAATCAGTCAAAACCCTGTTAGATTAGGGTCTAGTTTATGTTCTAATTTAACCTGTACTGATCAAGATTTTTAATCTGAGTGATGGGACAAGGAAAGACCAAATGCAATTTCAATTCTTTGACTTAAATTTAGTAAGAAGGGATACATAGTCAGGTTTTAAAGAAGGAAAGGGGATTCACAGATGCCCACTGTAGGATGCAAGTTTCATATGGCCTGACCCTGGTTTACCACCTAAATTTAGACTGATAACTAAATAAAAACCCTCAACGTGGAGTTCGAAAACCACCAAAAACCTGACCATAAATCATTCCTCATCTTCGACCAGACTTAGTCATTTTTTCTCCCGTTCCACATCTGTCTCAACATACCAGACTTTCTGCATGAACAGACTTGAAGGGAAACCAGTCCAACTAGTTTTATCAAAACACTGATCTGTGTTCGTGCCTTTATTCAAATACAACTAAAACACAACAACAGCTAGCTGGTGGGAACCTATTTATTTAGTTAATTTGACCAACATGACTTGTCAAAATAGATTAATCCTTGCCTACACAGAGGATCTGCTTCGGGAATATCTTTTGTTGGCTCTTTAGACAATCATGGCCCAGTTGTGGTTCTTAGGAGTGATAGAGTTCTGACCAGAACCAGGAAATAGGACCACATCAGTCCAGGTCTCAGGTCTCTCCTCTGGATTCCTGTAGCTCAGAGAATAGACTTTAAAACAGCTCTGCTTGTGTTTAAGTCTCTTCATGGGCAAGCACCGAAACACCTCTCTGACATGTTAGAGCCTGGTGAACCAGCTGGACTCTGAGAACCAGGTTCTGGTCTCCTGATGGGGCCCAGAGTCAGAACTAAACCAGGAGAGGCTTCATTTCCGCTCCAGGCTCCTAAAATCTGGATCAGTATTCCTGAAGATGTGAGACAGAACCCGATTCTGACAGTGTTTAAATCCAGGCTGAAAACGCTTCTTTTTAACTGTGCAAGTGGATATTAAATGTATTTTATCTGCAC